TCCTGCTGCTTAGGGCTCCTGCTCCCAGCAAGCTGTAGCATTAGAAAGTTCAGCATCTGGGCACACCTGCTTTCCCTAGTGTTCTGTCTGCTTTTGTTTCTGTTAAAAACATCCAATAAAAGAGGCCAAGCAGCATTATTGCTTTGCAGTTATGGTAGACAGGTCAGAATAGAGCAGAATATTTCAGTTGGAAGGAAGCCTTACAGTGATCATCTAGTCCAGCTGCATGACCAAAAGAGAGCAATGAGGTTGCCCTCAGCCCCCTTCTCTCCAAAGTAGACAAGCCCAGAGCTCTCAGCTGCTCCTTACAGGAGGTGCTTCCAGCCCTGACACCAGCTCTTTTGTCCTCCTCTGGACACATTCAAGAACCTTCACATTCTTCTTAAATGGTGGGGCCCAGAACTGCACCCAGTGCTTCAGGCGAGGCTGCACCACCACTGAATACAGCAGGACAAGCCCCTGTCTTGACCATGTGTCTCTGCTGTGGTGGATGCACCCCAGGATGCGTTTTGCCCTCTTGGTGCGAGGGCACACTGCTGGCTCTGCTGACCCTGCTGCCAACCAGCACCCCCAGGTCCCTTCCTGCAGGGGTGCTCTCCAGCCACTTCTGTCCCTGTTTAGACTTGAGCCTGGCATTACTCTGTCCCAGGTATGGAACCCAGCAGTTGTGCTTGTTAAACTTCGTGCTGTTGATGATGGCCCAGTGTTCCAATCTACCTAGATCACTCCGCAAGGCCTCATGTCCCTTGAGAGAGTCAGCAGCACCTCCCAGTTTAGTATCATCAGCAAACTTGCTAATGGTGCATTGAACTCCTGCATCCAGATCTTTGATATAAATATTGAACAGATCTGACCCCAGAATTGAGCCCTGAGGAACACCACTGGGTCTGGTTACCTGCAGAATACCTGCTGCAGAGAGCACACAACTTCCAGTTTGAGGATGCATGCAGTCAACATGATGAACTGCTGAAATCTGTTCTGTAGAGCATCCAGGAATGGAAGTGTAGTGAATAGGGAAGGAGGGACTGAGAGAATGGTGTAGAGTTTGTTGCATCTGAAGCATTAGTGGAGTGGAGGAGAAACAAAGGCATCAGGTTGCATCCTTGTGTGGGGGTTCAGGGAGTGCTTTGTGGTGCAAGATGAGTCTGTCTTATTTTGGCAGCTCGAAAACTGCAGCAGAAACGTACCCTTCTGTTGGAGGAAGAAGCAGAAGAGGATGAGGTGGTGAAACAGGTGCCTGAGATGAGCATGCAGTCCAGTGTCATCATTGAAGGAGTTGAGTACAAGATTGAGAGACTAAATGGAAGGAACACCCAGGCTCCAGCAACTCGGTAAGACACAACTACTAGCTCAGAACCACCTTCATGTGTCAGGCATGTCACAGTAGCAGTGATATTCAGGGAAGAGGGCTGGGCACAGAAACAGGCAGGCTTTTCCAGCTTGTGCTTTTCAGCAGAACAGCTGCTTCAGCTGTGCGCTGAGGTATGTAGAGATGTGGATTTTCAGAGGTAGCTCATTTAAAATAAGCTCTAATGCTGAATCTGGGTTTGGGAGTTTTTAGGCTTTTGTTTCCCAGTTCTCCTGGACTTGTCCTCCAGGTTTCCTTGATGGATGTTTTTCTAATTCTTGGGCATAGAACTGGGGAATGAGAAAAGGCTTCTCATAAGACTTCAGGTAGAAATAAGGCTGCACTAGGATAAAGTTGAAGCTGTCTTTATCTGACTCTCCCTTCTGAGTCTTTGGTACAGACATTCTTCTCTTCACAAACACTTCTACTGCCAGTCTTAGAGCGGCTGAAAACATTTATCCTGTCATTTTGAATCTTACTTCTTTTCATTGTTTCTGTCCAGTCTGTGTTGAGGAACTTCTCACACGAGGAATGCTCTGAGACCTTTCCCCTCTTTTGCTGACAGGGAAGGACAGCAGCCAGATGCAAACCAACTTCTTGGTTTAATGTGAAGGCCTACTTACCCCTACTGTTTTCACAGTGAAATGTGGGAGGTTAGAGGATAGTAAGGCCAGATCCATTAGATGACTTCCCATTGCTTCTTATCTGTGCTTGAGCAGATAAACAAAGGGCAGGCAGTGAATCAACTGAATTTCTTGAAATCTTTTTTTTTTTTTTGTCATGCCAGAGCAGAAACCGAAACTTAACCAGCAGTAAAAATAAGGGCTCAGAGCCATGATAAACTCTCTCACTGCCAAGTGAGCCACGGTAACTGTAGATATGTTCCTAACTGTGGAAGATGGACTTGTGTGACCTCTTTCATTACAGACCAGACTAAGGAGTATCTGCATGTGCACAGCCTAAGAATGCAGATGGCAACTCCAGCTCAGCTGGTTGGAAGCTTGCAGGAATTTGGTTATGAGCACAAAGCCTCAGTGTGTGAAGCAGTTGCATAGAGTGGCTACACCAAGAATCCCTGTTCTGAGATTGCTCAGGATTCATCCCTAGCCCAAATGTGCATTCACTAACAGGTCAGGAGGGATGTCCTTTGTTAGCATTCAGGCATCCCAACACTAGCAAAGAGCTGGAAGCAGCCAGACTGATGATCATGAATGGCAGCTGGAAAAAGCCAGGCTAGAGCTGTGCAAGAACTTGCCAGCAGACACAATGCATTACATTTGAAGAGTGTGTGTGTTAGTGGATGATTGGCCTTCAGATGAAGGAGTTCTCCTGAGGAGTTAGAGTGTCAACATTGATGAAATCAACAAGGAAACGCTTGCAGCAATGGGGCAGGAGCTGTTGAGCAAAATCATTAAGGGTTACATCTTCAAAATGAACTGGCTGTTGCTTTCTGGGGCTTGGATCTATTCCAGACCTTTCTTGGGTGTTAGCCTGTGGTACTATGAGCTGATGTGCTTGTTTTGCTCTAGGTCCTCTGAGGTCAATGAGAACAACAGCTCACAGAGGAGTTCAGTGGAGGAGGGAATCAAGCCTGAACAGAGAACCAACTCTGTGTCCGGGTAAGTGGATCATCAACATCCTTTGCCAAGGAGCTGCCAAATAATGGAGCAGATGGCTCCTCCTTTTAGCAGACCCAGGGTGTAAAAGGAAGGATTTTGTGGAGAAAGGGAAACTGTGGTCAGAACCAACTTGTTACAAGACACTCATCTCCTCTGTATGTTCTTCCGTCTCCCACAGCGGTGTCCTAAGATGTGGTACTAAACAGTTGCTTGGGGGTGTCAGTCATCACCTCTTACCTTGAAAACAGGCAGATGAGAGCTGTGGTGGCCCAGGCCAGCCTACCTCTCACTGTTTCTCTCTCTGCACAGATTGAGTCCGTTATACCTTGGAGCAGGGGATCCAGTAGCACCAGTGAGGACAGCCAAAGCTGAGCGGCGGCACCAGGAGCGGTTGCGAATGCAGAGTCCTGAGCTTCTGAGTGGTCAAGAGAAGGAGCTTTCTCCAGCAGAACGTCGTGCTCTGGAGGCAGAGAAACGAGCCATGTGGAGAGCAGCACGGTGAGACAGAACTTCACTGTTCTCTTCACTGTACTACATCAGGGAAAGGGGACCTGCTGCATGTCTTTTGGATTACGTGATATTAAACCAGGGACTACGCAAGCCTTCCTAAGGCAGGTGTTAGGGGAGGTTATACAGGCTCTGTTCAAACAGCATGAAGCATCCGCTGCTTGGCTGAGCTGCTTCTGACAGCTACATGGGTGAGATGCCTCTTAGAGCTTGCACAATTGTGAAGACAGTGGAGTGTTATAAAAAACATAAACACCTTCATGTGATGGTGACTGTGTTCCTTCCCTCTCAGCACACAACTTCCCACTTCCTTTGTAACATGTAAAATATGCTATTTATTGAAGCTGCAAGGTGACATACTCAAAATGAGAAGTGAAAAGAGCATTTCACATGTCCAGCGCTGCTAGACTGGAAGACTTGCTGAAGCCAAGAAATTAGCAAGTGAGGGCATTCACACACAAACTCTTTCATCACCTGTGAAAGAGGGATTAAAAGTTGTTTTGGAAGAAAGAGAACTTCCTAGCTCAGAACTTAAGACTCGAAGCTAGTCCTGGCACTTACTATGTCATGTAATTCATCTCAAAAATTAGTCAAGCTGCTTCTATAACTACAGTTTACTTCCCGTAATGTTCCTGTAGGAGGCATTCCAGAAACAATCTGAAACAGTCTTCTAGGGTTTGAAAGCAAGCTTTTAGACAAACATGGCTGTTAGTGGCTCATCCTTGCCAGCCCGCTAGGTAAGACACTGGAGGGATTACCATGAGCTGTGATACCACTTGGTATTTCCAGTGTTTGTGCTTAGACATGGATGGTAATGGTGCTGTCATCTTCTGGGAAAGCTCTGAGAATGTATAAATATCTAGTGGAGTCCTCAATGAGAGCTTGCTAACTATCTAGGCTTTGAGGGTACAGAGCTTCCCCTTGTTACTTGATCATGTGACAGATCTGCTTATGGTTTATTTAGAGCTGGACTAATGTCCCTTGTACCAGGGCTTTTGCCCTTCAAGAAAAACTTCCTTGGTATGTCCAGCTCTTTGCCTTGGATGAGTCTGTCTCATCTGGAAGTTTGTTTCTGAAGCACGGCCTTATTTTCATTGCACTGTCCTGTAATGCCAGAGAACTGAACAGGTCACTGGAAAGCCTTTTTGTTCTGTGGAACTTTGTTTTGGAAGAGATTGGTTTCTGTCATCTTGCAGCATGTTTGTTGGACCATTGAAGCTGGCCCTGCTTTGAGCAGCTTTTGGTTCAGATGACCTCCAGAGGTCCCTTCCAACCTGAATTATGCTGTGAGTCTGTAGTTAGTAATCTCTCCTTCCCTTCTCCGCACTGATGGGGATGCCTGCAGATGAGTCAGGATGTCAGCAGGATGTGCTCTGCCAGGATTGTTTCCACCCTGTGCTGTTGTTTCATGCTCCAAACTGTGGGACTCTGTCTGCTGCTCTGATTCACTCAGTGTTCTGCCATAGTTGGCATCTCACGCCTGTTCTGGTTGATGCTGTTTTCGTGGTTTCTGTGTCACAACTTCTCAGGCAGCATCATTTGCAAATGGAAGCTCTCTATTGTTACATTAAGCCAGGAAGAAGAAGCCTTTTACAAAAATACAAGTGGAAGAGAATTTGCAAACAATGCCTTCCAAAACAGCCCTACTGCCCTTCTGTTACAGGGCTAGAAGCTGCACAGGGGCTGTAGAGCCAAAGTGTGCTAAGAAACCATAGCCCAGAAGAGACTAGGTAGGACCGAGATGACCCGAATTCTTGCTTAATAGTCCTTCTGTATCCCTACCTCCTAACACAGTGCAGGTGCACAGAGAGGAGTGTACTGGCACTTCTCTGCCTCACAGGAAGGCTGTGAGCATTGAATACATCAAAACTGACTGTCAGTATGATGCTGTGTGAGCACCACAGTACTGTCAGGAGTAGACATGTTGCAGTTGCTGCTTGGTCTTTCACCTAAGAAAGAAAAAGCTCCACTGTTGTATTTGATCCAACAAAGCAGAAGCTGTCTGTTGGGCTCTTCCTCCTGAAAACCAACATTACTACTGGGAGAGGTGGTACTGACTGATCTGCCACCCCTGCCCAATTAGACACACAGGGTTTTTTCTCTCCCTCATGCCTCCACTTCTCATGTGTATTTCCTCATATCATGGGGCAGGCTTTATGAGGTAGTGTCAGCTCTGATTCCTCCTGCCTAAGGATTAACATATCCAAGGCATGCTTTTTTGTTTCAGATGGGTGTAGAAAGGAGAAACATGACATTGCCTGCACAAACCTTGAAAGCAAAGCCATGCCAAGGTCATGACTCGTGTCACAGGACGTGCACCACTTGCTGCAGGGCTCTGTGTTCTTCCATGAACTTGTTGCTGTTGCCAGCAGATAAATCTGACAAATGCTGGGTGAGGGGGCAGGATTTTTGGGTGATCCTGTAGCATTACTGAACATCTGAGTCTGGATTAGCTGGGGTCTTGCTGACATTGCTTAGGGCACAGTAAATATTCTACATTACACTGTAGAAGGGTTAGTAAGTGTTGAGGATAGTGGGTTTGTCCGTTGTGAGCAGGAGAGAGATCCCTGCATTCCAAACCTTCAGTCTTTTCTCTTCTAAGCACATTTTGTTCATGGCAAATGAACTGGTGAAGGAAGAGCCTTTTAGAGGTAAGAGAACATGAGAAGGAGAAGCTACTTGCAGCCATCTTGCTTGTCAGTTACGAGATCCAGTGTTACTGGTTTTAAGTTCTGCAGACCAGGTCCTCAGCTCCACTTTGCTTCTGATACCAAGGTGTAGCTTTTTATTCTTTATTATTATTTATTGTTTATTATTTATTTATTATTATTTGGGGTTGGAGCTGGATGATCTTTAAGGTCCCTTCCAACCCAAACCATTCTGTGATTCAGTTCTTGGAGAAGTGCTTGGCTGATTCTTTGGGTAGGGTTAAGGCTTGACATATTTTGGCATTGGCAGGAATCAATCAGTCACCGTAATGTGCTTCTTTTTGTAAGGATGGACTGCCCCCTGCTACCACACATCTCCCAGGATGATCTGGTTGCCTTAGGATCCCAATTCTGTAATTGTAACACAGTGATGTGATGGCAGCCAGGGCTCAGGTCTTATTTCCAGAGGCCCCCAAGCAGCACCACATGTGTGCTGTGGGAGGGAGGACTGTACTACCCTGCACATGATGCTGCAGCCTCACTAATCTGAATGTTCTTTAAGTGCATGCCACTGATTTTATTACTTTCTTTCTAATCTTCTATCTTCTGCTTCTTTCCAGTTCTCTGGTCTGTGTGCTGTCACTCGTGACCCCATCAGTTTGCACCTTCTTGGGCTTTCCTTTTTCTCCCTGTGTCATCAGTGCTCTGCCAGGACATGTGTTCCCCCACCCCAGCACATCCCCCTGTGCTCTGCTGGGACAAACACACTGGGATCCCAGCTATATGAGTGTTCTGGGCACACACAGCTGCTGACATTCGTGCCATAGGAAGAGTGTGATTGAGAAGGTACAGGCACATACACAGAAACCACCCATGTTCTGGGCTGCATCACCACAGCATGAGTAGCAGGTCAGGGAGGGGATTCTTCCCCCGTGCTGCGTGAAGGGGAGACCTTAGAGCAGCTCCAGTGCCTAAAGGGGCTACAAGAAAACCTGGAGAGGGGCTTTGGACAAGGGATGTAGGGACAGGACAAGGTGGAATGGCTTTAACCTGCCAGGGGGGAGACTGAGATGAGACCTTCGGCAGAAGTTCTTCCCTATGAGGATGCTGAGGTGCTGGCACAGAGTGCCCAGAGAAGCTGTGGCTGCCCCATCCCTGGCAGTGTTCAAGACCAGGTTGGACACAGGGGCTTGGAGCAACCTACTCTAGTGGAAGGTGTCCCTGCCCATGGCAGGGGGTTGGAACTGGATGAGCGTTAAGGTTCCTTCCAACCCAAACCAGTCTGTGAGTCTACGATTCTATGATACTGAGGGGGGCAGGTGTCCAGCAAGGGCTGTCTGCATCTTGGCAGTTTTCCCACCGTACACACACTGTTACAGACACACCTCTTGCCTGTGTACCAGGGCCTGTGGCAGAAAGACCTCTTGTAATGTGCTTGTTTGTTTTGCTTCCCCTTTTCTTGTGCTCAAACAAAGGTGCACACTAACATGTGGTCAGATTTATGTATGCAGATGTACACTAAGAGACTGTCATCAGCTGTGTGCATGCACACTCACTCGTGCCTTGTACTCCCTCAGTCTGCTTCACATATACACACATACACACCTTTGTAACTACCTCCTGGGCCATTTCCATTGGTCTGCTGGGGGTTTCCAGTCCTCTCCTGCTAGCCATGAGGAGGGCAGTCTCTAGATGCTGAGGCTCGGAAGGCACATCGTCCCAGATTGCCCTCTGGAGGTTTCTGCTGCTTCTGCAGCAGTTGGTGTTGGACAGGGTCCTGTTTTAGTCAAGGCTGCCCCTATATCAGACCCATATTTCTCCTTGTCAGGGTATGTTCCTGTATCTCTTTCTTTCTTTCCCTGCGGTTGTCTGCTGCGATGTTCATTACCATCATCTCCTCTTCCTCCTTTTCCTCCTCCTCTTCCTCCTCCTCCTCAGATCCTCAGCTCTTGAAGACAGTATTAAACAATACGAGCAGGATCTGGCCAGGAAGTTGTACCAGTCCCGACAGTGGGCTCCTGCTCCCGGGGCCAGGCCGACTCAGATGTCTAGTGCAATGCAGAGTCACGCCTCAAGAACCCCTGGGTCAGGAAGCCAATCCAGGTGTGCACAGCCCCTTCCCTGCCAGCTGCATGTCTGTATCCCTACATCCCAATGCAGTGCTCTCAGCTGTGGCCTGCCAGGGGTAGGAAGGAAACATTAGTGGTTGCTGGTGTTCATTCCCTGAGGTCCCACAGACTACTGGCAGTTGCCTTACTGAGGATGCGGGGGAAAGCTGGGTCTGACTGGGAGAAAGGAGCAGACATTGCTGAGGGCTGAGCCCACTTTTTTTTGGTTATCTCTTAATGTCCTGATGGCTGAAGAGGGTTAAGATGCAACATATTGAGAGCACAGAGGAGAGCAAAGTCCTGAGAACTGATCTTATTCATTTAAACCCCAGCAGTTCCTTTCCCAGCTTGGGCTGCTGTCCCATCATGTATGGCACCTCTGGGAAGGCCTGCAGCTTCTCAGTTTGTTGAAGCTTAGCTCTAGGCTCTGTTCAGCACATACAGTGGCATGTGTGTTTCAGGGTGACAGCAAACCAAGCTGTTCTCCTCTCCTGCTTTGAAAGTCTGTCTGCCTCAGGGAACCATGGGTGCTTGGCTTCACCTTTCTGCACTCAGCCTGTTAACTGTGGTCTGGCTGCTGGGTGCAGAAGGTGGCATTATCTCTTAGCAGGAAGGCAATGTCTTATGTCTTTTTCTCCCTCCCTCATTTCTGAGGCAGGATGAAATCACTTGAACAGGATGCTCTGAAAGCCCAAATGGTTATTGCCAAGTCCAAGGAGGGGAAAAAGCGCAGCACACTGGAGCAGCTGACGGAGTCACCTTCACCTGTCCCCACCCCATCACCAACACCACTGGAAGGTACTGTACAGCCGTCCCTTCTCTGATGCGAGAAGTTAAGGCTTCTCTAGCTTTTAACTTGCTTGAAAGCAGACCTGCTGACAGCAAGTGCCTCCTTCAGCCTGGACTGGAAGGTTCTTTGGGGCATATGACATCTTTCAGCACAGGGGATGGGCCTGATCTATAGAATGGGGCACCCAAAGGTTCCAGGGAACCAGAGCAGAAGTAAAATCAGCATCATGACTGTTCTAGGAAGAGGAATGAGGTGTTTGTTCAGAGCAGTGAGCATCTTTCCTGAGCAGAGTCTTTTATCACACCCAAACACTGCTAAATGGAAGGGGCAGGTCTGGGGAACTGTTGCACAGATACAGGCCTTTGCTAAAGTACTTTTCTGTCATCTTTTGCAGACTGCAGTCCCAGAAACATCACTTCACCAGGAAGGCTGGTATGAAATCCTGCTTGCTTTTGGTATCTCGCCTATCATCCTGGGATTTCTCAGTCACTTGGCTTGGGTGTGGGCTCTGCATCTGGGCCATGGGATCCCAGCTTAAATAAGGCATGATAGGTGAAGACAGCACTGTGGCTGGAGCTCTGCCATATCCATTGTTAGAGGCATCGTCCCTGTTTTGCAACTCTGACGTAACATCTGGTTTCTGTTTCATGTTTTTATTATTTCATCCTTTACTTGGTTCTTCATCTCTGTGGTCAGAAAGCCATTCTCTTCAGAGACTTTGGCCCCTTGTTTCCTCAAGAGCATAAAACTGAGAACAGCAGCTGAAATCAGCATTTTCCTTTTTCTAAGCATATTGGTATAAGTCTGTATAAATGCACCAGGTCATTGCTGCAAAGAACTGTCAGCATTAGTAAGGCAAATGGAAGAGTGGAGCAGCTGCCCAAAAAGGGGACCTGGCTTTGCCCAAGGCTGTGCAATGCAGCCAACTCTGGATTAAACCCTGACTGTGCCACAGCCATCAGGAATCTTGCCACGAATCTTCCCATGAAAATAGGTTTTCTGCCTAAGCTGGTGTGCAAGTGCATTTTACTGCAGCATGTAATGTTTTCTCTGCAACGTGGGAGCCCTGCCCTGACACCAGAACAGTGCCCCAGAGATGCCCCAGTTTCAGAGGCCGTATCCCAGCACTCTGGGCAGTAACTGAGAATGATGCTATGCTTCTGGTTTCATCTTTGCATAGACTGACTGCTCAGCTTGCTGTTGGTTTTCCATCCATTTCTCTCCCCTTACTCTCTCTTCTCTGTTTCTTCTCTTTTGCTATCCCTTCTAGTCCATGTCTGAAAAGAAGTTTGACTACCGGGAATTTGCTGCTATTCCTTCCTCCAAACCTGTTTACGAAATCCAGGTATAAACTGCATGCTAAGCTGTCTGTCAGATGGGTCAGGGCTTGCACATGAAGCAATGACCTTCAGAGCAGAGGCTGAATGATTTGAGGAAGTCCTCTTCAAAGGCCCTTCCTGCGTGGAGGCAATGAGAGCCTGATGTGCTGTATAACTGGGGGTTTACTGGTGACTTCAGTCAGGTGGAATTGGGAAAAAGGTGGTCCAGACAGTTTTAAAATGAATGACAAAAGCTTTGCAAATAGAAAGCAGCTACATGACATGGTTTAGTGCAAGGTGTCCCTGCCCATGGCAGGGGGGTTGGAACTAGATGATCTTAAGGTCCTTTCCAACCCTAACTATTCTATGATTCTATGATACATCCTCACCTCAGTTGATCCTGAAATGGTTTTAAGTGAAAGATGAGAACTAAAAGGGAAGAAATAGCTATAGAAATGATGGCAAACAAATTGTAAATTGGCGCAAATGTTAACCTCACGCATCCATACACATCATATACATACATATTTACATATATATATATAAATATCCACCATCCTGCCCAAGCAGCATATGTGGTGCCAATTCTCATATGTTGTAACTCTGCTGTAGACGAACTGTGAAGTTATCACGTGGTAAGAGAAGACCAAGTTTTGAGGGTGAGTGCCATGGCGGGTGGTTCTCCTTCCTGAAAAAAACTCATTTCATTTAAGCTGCTTTGTCACAGAATCAGAGAACACCTGGGGATGGAAGGGACCTCTGGAGGTCACCTTGTCTGGCCCCCTGCTCAAGCAGGGCCACCTAGAGCCAGTTGCCCAGGACCGTGACCTGCCTTTCTTTTACCATCTGGGTTAGTCATTAACTGATTGGCATTTGTCACATCTGAGCAGATACTGTATGCTTGTGATTGATTTTTTAGTTTCCTATAAAGACAATGAAGCAATAACTTGCAGTTACCTTTGTGCTGTGTGTGGAGAGCTAGCAAGCTTTAACTTGCTGTCATGACACAGAGATCCCAGATCCAAGGTGTCATCCCCAAAGCCAGGCTGACTTTGACTTTAGCAGAGTTGCAGTTTGAGGATGTTCAGCCTTGGGGTAGTCACCTATCTTTTTATCTAAGAATCCCTTCTTTTCGTGGTGCACTCCTGCCCAGGTCCTGTACCAAATGAGTTAGAGGACTGGCCACTCTGCTCTGACTACTCGAGTTTCCCCAAGCCTCTGCCGAGGCCACAGTGCAGCACTGGGTCTTCATGCAGCTGAGAAGGTGCCTCCAAAGCAGACTACACCTCCAGATCACTAGGCAGCTCCTCTGGACCTCTCTCAGCAGCACAGTAACTAAGAAGCTGTATTTCTTCCTGGCCATAGTTGTACAACTGCATCACTGTCTTTGGATCATGCAAGTGCTGTTTGGCTATGCTGTGTTCCTCAGCAGTGGATGCCCAAGTCATGCCAAAGCAGCATGACCTCTACCACACATTTGCTTCTAAAGCACTAAATGGGCCCAGATCATCTCCCCCTCTTTCCTGCCCCCTCCAATTTTGCTGCTTGCACAAAATAAGCAAGTTATATGGAAATGAGAGCTTCTTGCACTCCCAGAGCTGAGAAACTTCCCTAATGCTTTCCGTGTAAGTGTATAGAACCTCCATCCTTTATCCTACAACTAAAGAGAAGTTAAACTACTCCTCACTTGCGCTCTTGAGCTAAGCAAGCAGATTTTGGTGAGTAGTGGCCAGAATTTTCAGCTGAGTTTGGCATTATTAAACTTGAATACTAAGCTCTGCTGAAGCCCTATCCTCACATTTGTACAGCTCCAGGGAAGTGTTGAACTCAGTGTATTGTGTACAGACCTATTAAGAATAGTGGAAGTAACAAATGCAGCCACTTTTGAAGTAAACAGAATACCTCAGCAGAATACTTTGACCTATCTATCCTTGAAGCTCTATATACAGCTAGATTAAATTCTCTATTTCGTCAACATAAGTAGAGTTTGGGACATTTATGCCTCTAACCAGAGTAGTGCTGATTTTCAAGCCACCTCAAGTTCATGACCTTGAGCAAAGTTGTTTTCTTATACTGGTGTCACTCTGGTTTGATGACCTACACGCAGCTCTGGTGGTTGGAGTGGACTTTGTTTTGTGAAGGCTTTAAAATCAGGAGGTGGTGGAGTTTCATGATTATCCCTTAGCTGTTTCTCTGCCATGTGTTGGATGTAACTGTTCCATATCCTACATCAGTTCTCTACACATACCTGAACAGAAAAAAAGAAAGTTGATTCTGCACAAGCAGCTGGGGCTGGGAACAGAGCAGGGGCAGAATTAGGGACTCTGAAGGAAATGTAGCTCATGTCTTTGCTGTCCTCCCATGTTTCTACTCATTTTCTACAGTCTTTATGCTTTCTGCCTTCCATGTCACTTCCAATCCTCTCCTTCATATACACACACAGAGTAGGGATAGCTCTGATGGGCAGGCACAGAGCTCATCCTGCAGTTCAGGCAAGGGGCAGCTTGACTTTAGCACAGAGGAGTAATGTTGTAATCACATAGTAATTCACTGAGTTACCAGCACTTTCGAGGGCTAAAGGTTCTCTGGAGTGTGTTGGAAGGCTGGAGGTGGGAAATTACCTGGCACTGGCATTACAGAGGTGGAGGCTCATGTCTTCTGTTCTCTTCCAGTCACCTGATGCAGCTGATGACCTCAGATACGTAGATGACAGAAATATCTCAGGTAAGCTCATGGCCGAAGGAGTCATCTCTATACTACTTGCTTCCCACCATGGTTCTAGAAGGTTCCCCTTTGCCTCCTTGTGGAATCAACCCTGAGGACTTCAACTTCTTGCTGCTTGAAGCCATTGAAGCCATGTCTTATTTTTGTCCATTCTAGAATGAAACCTCCAAACTCACCACCTTCCATTTGGGGTAGGATATTTGCATTGTGCTCTAGGGATGGCTAATGATGAATGGTGTGTAACAAGCATGCCTGGTTTTCTTCTGGGTTTGTGTTCTGGAGTAAAGAGGGTGGTAGAACATAGGTGGGAAGTTTTGGCCTCTGTCACCTGCTGGAAGTGGGTGACATTCATTGGGCAGGGTCTGCCCCTTTTGCTAGAGCAAAAAATCTTGCAGCCTGCAGCAGGCAGCTGCAGATAAATTTATCCTAGTTTAAGAGGTGAAAGCATTTGGTGCTCGAGTACCCACATGATTTTCCAAGCCTACGCGTGTGGATTTATGTGCGCGGTCCCCTAAATAAACAGGAACTGAAGCTTTGTCTGCTGTATCTCGTCAGGCTCTCCTAGCTATGGTATGTCCTTTGGTCCACAGCTAGAATAGACAGGCTCAGGCTATCTCCCACTTCAGTCTGGGTGGCTGTAGTAGCAGTGTGGAGCTTGGCAGGACCTCCCTGCTACTTAGGAATACTTCTGCTGGCATTTTATTTACTTAATTCTGTTTCTTGATAATTTACTTGGCTCTTCTGGGGTGTAGTGAATAACTACGTCTTATTCCCTTTCTGTACCTTTCATACAGGCAATTATCATATCAGTTACCCTTTTCCTAGGCTCATCAATCCTATTCATTCTTTATGTGAGTTGTTCCCATGCCCCTTTGGACCTTTTTTATTTCATCTGTGCTATTTTTAAGGTAGAGAAGGGCTGCAGGCAGTACTGCAAATGTAGGTACATGATGAGTTGATGCAGTGGCAGAAGGTGTTCCATATGTTCTCACATCTTTTCTGGTATCTAATCCTGAAATGAAATGGTATTGCTGAGAAGTGCCAGTGTTTTCAGAAAGCTCCCCCTAATGCAAACAGAATCATAAGCTCATTTTAAGAATGTTGCTTTCTATGTGCAATCAGGGTTATGTTACTTTTACTGAGCTTAAGCATCATCCAGTAGCATAAAAATAAACTCCCTGAGTCAGGACGAGGTTCTGCCAGGTCCAGTATTGTGTCTGATGCAAGCCACTGGGAAAGCCAAGAAAAGAGAATAAAAGAAGAAAAGTATAAAGTTACTCCTTTGAGAATACTACTCCGGGCTACAACAACATGTGTTTTAGCACTTCCTAAGCCAGAGGCCTTTAATTGTAGAGCTGTTTATTTCTTCTCTGAATCTCTTCACATTTGCAGTAAATTTCACCTTCCACATCATTGTCTATTCAACTCTGTAAAATCCTAATGCTCTTTTGTGTAGTTGAGTTTCATTTGACTACCCTGATACACAGCTTGGTACCACCAGAAGTTTCTTAATACAGTCTTTATCACTTCTACTCCTCATTAGTTACCAAATACTGACTAATACAGATTGCTCCTCTGTGTTGTGATAGCACGTAACATCTCCTTGCATGTTTTCTGTGTTCTAACCCTGAGGGACGTGCTGCCATATCCCATGGCAGCTTGTTTTCATTAAGAGCTTTGGCTGAGGAGCAGTTAGCAGGTTGTAAAATTTGTGTTTGCTGTGTCGAGATCACTGAACTTGCATGTTTGATGGCTCTTTTGGCAAATTCTAGTCAAAGTGGTTCTAAAAGGAATGAGTTCCCTCCAAGCCACACTGATTTCCTTCCCCCGCCAGTATGGATTTTTACCTGCATGTGTCCGTGCCATTTGTTTATACCCGTCTGCCTTATCTGGAAGTCAGTCATCTGCTTTCCAACCCCCGAGTCCTGCCAAGATGTCAGGTTTGTCACCTACATTTGGTTCTGAGGCCTTTTCAAACAACAGGTTCATGCTACTGTTAATACTTCCAGAAAGATTCATACTTGGGTACTGTAACAAGGGGGATGTTGCAATTTAGAGTCTAGCTGTAGAGCAGAGGATGGGCCACTGGGTAGAGCTCATCAGGCTGCAGCTTTGATCTGATAGATCTTCATAGATAACCTGCCTCGTTCAAAGACTTTAGAGGCTTCCCAGGAGCCAGTTTGCATTTGAAGGGAAAAATCTGTGGATTTGTGGAACTTTTCCCGTTTTACTCAAGTGTCTCACAGTAGTTGTTCAAGCCAGATTATCACAAAGGGCAGATGTCAAAGTGCGTCGGATACAAGCTCCTTTCAGGAGGGCGAAGAGCCACTGTAACAACAGTGTACTTTACATGCAGAACACATCCTAAAAGGCCTGAGATCAAGTTAACAGTGGGTCTGGCCCTGCCCCAGTGTATCTTTCCTGGTGAGGGACACAAGTCACAGTCTAAATTTACAGAAAGGACTTAGTTGTGTAACTGCAACACAAAGCAAGGCCACAACTCTCACCTCTAGCTATGGCGACTATAGCTGGTGGTCACACTGCTCTTTAGTGCACACCACTACTGAAACCAGTGATGTGCTGGGGACACTAGCAGACACCCGAGTCCTTTCAGCAGACTTGATTTTTCCTATGGCACTTCAAGGAATTTTCAATGTTGGGATATGTCTCTTCTCACACATGTGACTTCCCAGAATCCACAGAGGTCAGAACATGAGCTTGCACATCACCTAAAAGCTCTGGGCATGGGATTACTGGAGATCACTAGCATTTCAGTGTAGTCTCAAATTCAGCACCCCAGTGTACCCTTATGTCTACGTTAGCTGCATCAGCTTTATGCTTAACCTGGCACTTCTCTTAAAACGTTACCTGTTCTTGTCCTCACAGTTCCCCAGGAGCAGGATGGGCAGCCAGAGGAAGAGGAAATGTTAGTGACACACGATTCATCAACACCTACTTCATCAGCACTGGAAGAAATGGCCCTGTACAGCAGCAAACGCAAACTCCGACACAGCCGGCGCAGCTTGGAGGCAGCTGTCCCCACGTAGAAGATCTGATGGACTTGGGCGATGGAATAGCCCAGCACAGGCCTCTTGAGCTTCCTGTGCTCCAGGGACAGCACTGGACTGCCCACACTGCTGCCTCCTGGACTCTGGATGGGAACTGAGCACCCCAGGGAGCACTGTGGTCAACTAACTTCCTTTAAGGCTGTGAACCCTCTTTTCTCACCCAATGATGCACTGGGGCATGTCCTGAAAAAAATGGGACAACACTAGACTTACTGATGGCAAATTGAGAGGAGGTGTGGGTAGGACAGTGGGCAGCTGCAGCTTGTTAGCCTGTAAATAGTGTGTGCGGGGAAAGGGTAGGACAGGGAGAATATGAGTGTGTGTTGGGTTCCAGCTGTTACTTTCTCAACCTGGATTTTTTTAGTGGTTTACTGTGGGAGCTTTTCCTCTGGCATGAGTTAGAAGGAAGGTCCAGCCTACCTTTGCTCCTACTTAATTTCCAGTCTTTTGCCAAAAAGCATCTCCTCCCACCTCCCCCCACCCCAACCCATAACCTCACTTGCTTTTGGGAGTGTGTGGAAATGGGTGGCTTGGAGGCAAAAAGAAGAAAAATAAAAAAAGAGAAAAACAAAAGGAATTCCAGTGAAATGCCTCCCTCTGACATTGGTACCTGTGTGCTCAAGCAAAGACAACCAACTGAGTAGGAGTCTGTGCCAGCTCTGTGCCACTTGCCTCTGTGAGCACAGCAACCTGTCCTGCATAGGAAACTGCTCCTGCCAGCATTTTGTGCTATCCCAGGGGACAGGTACTACCTGGGTGTACACATAAGGTGTGTCTCTCGTGCGTGCAGTGTGAACCCCTTAACAAGCACACTGACTGAGTGTCAGAGGAGGCCAGGTATCCATCTTCTGTCAGCACCGGGACTGAACTGGGGCAGAAATGAGAGAGGAGCCGAGCAGCTGTAGCAGAGTGTAGCAGTGTGCATGTGTGACAGCAGTAGAGAGCAGAGTAGTTCGAGATTAGGGTACGGTGGCAGAGGTAGGAGGTGTAAACAGCAGATAAGATAGTGGGTTAGGATTCAGGAAATGGGGAAGGGTAGGAGTCAAGGGGTGTTACAGGTAGGAGGATACTGGTGGGTGATTTACCTGCTATCTGTGAAGTGAAATGTGATGTTATGGGTGCCCAGCTTGGGGCTCTCAAGGAGCAGAGTGAAGTAGGATGGGTCCAGCCTATGCCTTGCAATAACTACACAGTTCTACTCTTTGCCAACTTGTTGGCTTCAGACCCCTTTCCATGTGGAACAGGGAGGATACATGCTTGCCCAGGCAGGATGGAGAAAATGAAAATGAAAAGGAGCAGGGTGTGATTCCTGGTTTTCATGGGTGGCACAAGGGCTGTGAGCAGATTCTGTATCAAGTGAGCTCTGCAGATGTGGAGGAGACAGATGCTGCTGATAGCACTGAAATCAGTCTCTGCTGCCCACTACCGAAATAAAATATCCCCCCCTTTTTTTTTTGTTTTCTGTTTTTCTAATGCCCCTAACAGGGAGAAAGGTGCCTGAGCTTGGCAGGGACCCAACCTGTCCAACCTGACATAACCCCTCCAGCAGTAAGACCAGAGTTGGACCTTAAGCCTTTTGGTGGCTTGGGAGCAACAGGCACTTCTGCTTGTATATTTGCTGAATGAAAGAACTGGATGCAGTTTTTCTTTTAGTTGATACTCTCCCTTCATGCCAAAATCCAGTGGATCATTTTAACTGATTTCGTATGTTTTGATTTTACAGAGCTTTGAAGGGGGGGCTCTGATAAACTGCAGCTGTGGCTGCTTCCATCATCAGCAATTTGAGCTTTTCCTTTTTAAATCTAATTTTAGCATTTGCTTTTTAACAACAGCAATTTTGGAAACAATCCTGGATTGGGTTTGGTGACTAACTTGTGATTCTCTCTTTCTTTTTGTTTGCGGTACCTGGTGCCAGGCTCTGGGTTCTCTCCCATTCTCTCCTGAGAGACTCTGAGGGAAAATTAGCGCATCAAGACTGTAACTAGTGAAATTTGTACAACCAAAGAAATCTATTTTGTGGTTCAAGGATAATAAAGTTTACTTTACATTTTAGAACCTTTAGTTAACGTGGTTTGCACTGCGTGAAGTCTGCACTTTCTATATCAACATGTTGGTTCTTATTCTTAGCCATCCTATAATCTAGCAAACGCACCAGTGATTTTCCTGCTTCTGTGTGCAGAAATTAATGATAACCTGAATCAGTGCCAACTGCAGGAATATCAAGGTGAGCATGTGCTACTCATGTGAATTTGGTACAAGACTGGCATCTGTACTGAAATGGGAGGAAGAGAACCCAAACCAGTAACTTAGTTCCACCTTTATGCAGTTTGAAAGGGGCTCCGTATTTTGGAAGTAGCAGATTCATGCTTGGTGGGAAGGGAGGGGAACAGAGGTTTCTGCTCCACAGAAACTGTAGTAGTGGGAAGGGAAATGGGGACAGACAGGTGAGAGGATATATGTAGGATACAGCTATTCGTTTACCACATTCAGCACTGACACCGATTTAAAACCCAACATCCTGCTTAATGGCATTCAAGAGAGGGAAGTAAACTGAGGAATGAGAACAAACACTAGAATGTGCTGCTCAGTGTTACAAACTTTAAGGCAAGTACCGATGCCAACTGCAGAGACTAATTCTATCCATAGGAAGAGCTGGAGGCAGGGAATGTGCCCATGGTCTCGACAGGGTGTCCCAGCACCCTGCCAGCTGAATCTTGTAAGTATCCGATGCTGGAGAATCCCCCGCTTCCCTGGGGAGATTATTGCAGTGTCTGATTGTTCTCGTTGGGTAAACTTTTTCTCGTGTCCAACCAGAATCCCCTTGGGAGTAATTTAATGCCGATCACCCCTGTCTTTTCCATGAGAGTCCTTGTAAAAAGGGAGTGTCCAGCTTCTTTATAGCCACCCTCTAAATAGAGGAACATGGGTCTCTCCTGAGCCTTCTTTTCTCCAGGCTGAACAGTCCCAGCTCTCTCAGCCTTTTCTCACACGCTGCCTAGCCTCTGGCTCATCTCTGTGGCCCTTCTCTGGACCCTCTCCAGACCATCCACATTTTTTTTTGTAGAGCAGGGACCAAAACTAAACCCAGTATTCCAGGGGTGGCCTGACAAGCACCAAGTAAAGCATTTTAGTATTATAATGAAGACCATTCAGGTAGTGACTCCAGGATCCTGTACTGTCTTGCCAAGTTGGCAAAGTATTTGAAACATCATGACTCTGTACATCCTTGAGTTCAACCTTTCCAGGATACATGCTCAAGTAAAGAATGTCAAATGTTCCATCCCAATTAAAGAGTCCTTAGTCTGACAAACTTCAATGTAAATGACTTGTTAACAAGTTATCATGTCCTTGAAATGGTACATCAATTCTATGGACATCAACAGGAAAACTACAGCTTGGCCACACGGGTACTGATCCATGACCAACTGCATGTGGACACAAAGCAGATACTGTCTTGCTAAGAAAAAAAATACCTACCCAGCTAAATCAGAACTAGTGTCCTGTACCAAAGGCTGTAACCAGCCCCAAATAGCTGTCCTGACTGACAGAGAGCCAGCACCACAAAGATGCAGCCCTTCCTCGGAAGAGCAGGTGAAGTCCCCAGCTCTGCCATAAAGGGTGAATGCTTCACTGTCTGCGGTCACACAACACCTGCCCCACCCCAAGCTCATTCCCCTTCTTTGAGTTTTCCCCCTACTTTTTCTTTTTATGCTGCATGTACAAACTCATTTTGCACCTTGTACCAAAGCCAAGCAAGGGCTTACTAAGGGTATAATTAGAGCATTAGTTTAAATCAACTTATTTCACTTTGAACTAAAAGCAGTCTATAAATGTGTGTTCATATAATTTGTACCTGCATAATTAGTACCTGTATCTTACCTGAGATAGCACTAGCAAAACATCAGCAGTAATAACATACTGCTATAAAAGAGCCTTTAAAACTCCCTATAGCTGTTTCACACATGAACGTGTGATCTTATCTCAAATTTCATACATGTAAGAAATCAATAATAGAACAATTACTTTTATAAATGATAGAGTTTTCCCCCACCTCTTCTACTATGGTACACAAGAAGTCTTCCTTATCAGGAAGGCAGCTTGTCAGAGGCTTGGGTTTTGAGGTGGTTTTTTTTTTTTTATCCATCCCAGAAGTCTCTTCTCTGTATTAGTACTGTTATCACTGCTTGGTGCAAGTTTGACAGGACTTCTCACCATATACGGATATAAATTCAAATTCGCTGTCCACTCAAAGGGATTTTGTCTCCAGCATCTTCAGTCAAGCATCATTTATCTCGTGGTTCCATCACTCTGCGCAGAACTAGAATGCTATAGAATGAGGCTGAACTATAACTCACCACCACACTGCACTTCTGCTCAGTTTTCAAACCAAGCAAGCATAGCTATCAGAATTAAAAACCAAACCACCAATCTCTTTATAGCGGGGCTTAAGGAGGAATGAGTAAGTGCTGCTCAAAAGGCTGCAGATTCTTTTCCAGGCATGGGAAAGAGGTGTCAGAGGCTATGCATAGCAACACGTGTTCAGAATGGAAGATACACAGCTCTTAGAAACACCTATCATCAAATGGTAATTTATGTGCAGCTTCAAATGTGAACCTGTCAGGAAAACGGGGTGCTGAAACATGTAACCCTACTTATGATCCCTGGTCACTAGTGTTGAGATGACGAGGCATGAGTAACATCCAGTTATTACAGAATACTGGTTAGTGAGCTGCTCTAGTCACATAGATGATCCAGCACTTACCACCCTGCTGATGCTCAGCAGAGCAGCCAACCAGCTCACCTCTGTGATTCGCCTTTGAACACTGAAGTTGTGCTTACCACCAAACGCTGCCTCAGTTTAGAACCATTCAAGAGTGCTATTTTCAAAATGCTTTATTAATGACAAATACATTAGTTGAAGGAAATGACAAATCAAATCAGTAGTGTGTAAATTCTTGAAAAGCTGCAACAT